AGTTCGTAGGAGTGATTCCATGAAAACGGCCCGTACGTTGAGCATTTTCGCCTGACAGCGATGCTAGACTTACGGACAAGTTTTACGGATTAGAAGTTACAGGGTGAGATGGCATGAACTGATTTGGGGGAAGCAGACCCCACCGGAAAATGCAGGGGGTGGGGGGCAAATTAGGGAGGGACAGGTCAGTCCGTAGGAGTGACTCCGTAAAAACGGCCCGTACGTTGAGCATTTTCGCCTGATAGCGATGCTAGACTTACGGACAAGTTTTACGGATCAGGTCCCGTCTGTTGCCAGGGTTTGGATGGGGCCCTGCAACTAGACGCGTATACCTAGCTCCTACTCGTAGACTCGTAGTACGTACCTACGCATTACCAGCATCAATACCAACATTTGTTTTCTTTTTCCACTATTACTTTTATTTGTTTCTCAATCTAGCTAGAGTGGTTTGATTCTTGCCTACTCTGTAGCGACCAGACCTCAAACGGTCTGATCTCTGTGCTCAGGTGTCATCCCTGGATCAGTAATGCTGACACCACACAGTACTTGAAGGATTTATAACAGAATATCAATCACACACTTATTACATCGAGTGTCTCAATAGAGAACTTATTACAATAAATATGGCTTAAGGTCATCTAATAACGATAACAGCGGAAAGCTCGGAAGATAAGTGAGTCCATCAACTCCAACGACATCACCGAGTATAGAACCACGACCTAAAAACTCCTTAATCGTCGTCTGAAAAGTCTGCAACATTGACGTTGCAGCCCGAAACGGGTCAGCACATGGAATATGCTGGCAAGGTAACACATAGAGAGTAATGGAATGATACAGCTATACTATATGCATATTTGGCTGGTGGAAAGCTCTATGGTTACAGTTTTACGTAAAGCCAATTTTTCCCTACTGCAAAGGAATAAATTTTATTTAACTATCATGGTAGTTGTTAAACATTGAGAATGGTTGACAGCATCCTCAATCCCAGTTAAGCATCATCATTAAACAAAACCCAACAAAATTAATTTAGAGTAACATGTTGAGATTCACATGATAATCCAAGTACTAGATACTCAAGATCTCCATAACCGGGGACACGGCTAACCATGATTAGTTTATACACTCTGCAGAGGTTTGCGCACTTTTCCCCACAAGACTCGATCGCCTCCGTTTGGTTTCTCGCACTTCATGGTGTTTGAGAAGACGGATGACCGAGACATAGTCTTTCAGAAGCGCTAGCACCTTACGATGGATAGACCGTCACACCTACTTTCCCCTACATCTGCTAGTCTACCCTGTAAGAGTTCGCACGACTTAATCAACTATGCTAGAGCACATAATAGCTTGTGGCTGCACACGGAAGTTTCTAGTATGAAAAATCTCATGATCCCTTCGGGCCTGGGTGGCGGTCAAAAAAACAGGCAATCCTGGAATACCCAGGTACCTCAATCCACCCAGATGTGTGTTTAAGTTGCCATCTTAGATAAACCATTAATTAACAAACTCACATCTGTCATGGATATCACTCACCCAATCCACGTCTACTAGCATAGCATGACACAATAGGCAAATGTAGAAGTAACTCCCAAAGGTTTGATAATAAACAGGTAATATGTACTACCTCAACTACTTCCCATCCCACAATTTAATTAGATCCTAATCATGCAATGTTTGAGGATTGATCTAATGCAATAAAACTGGGTAGTAGGAGGTATGATCAAAGTGTTACTTGCCTTGCCGATGATCCGTGAAACCTAGAGATTCGAAGTAACAGGCGGCGCACTACGGGTATTCTATCGCAGACAAACAAACAAGCATACAATAAGTATTCATCTAATGCACGGGTAAAACTCAAATAAGAGATCTAACCAGAAGGTTCAACTTAAGAACTCCGGTTTGCAAAAAGAATCAAATCAAACGAAGCAACGAAAGTCAAACGGCAAAAGAAACAGGCTTCGTTTACTATTCTGGATCTAGGGCAATTTTTACAGTGGCAAAAACTTGTTTAAGTTGGTTAAACGGATAGAGGGTTTCGAGACAAAACTCCAGGCGCTTGAAACGCCTGATTCCGATAAACGAGCGAAAAGTTATACTAAAACAAAAATCGGTTCAGGAATCGCGATGAGAAAAATCACGGATTTAATCCGAGAAAAAGAAAAACGACGAACGTTCGCTAGAACGAACGAACGGACGAACGCTCGCTAATTAAATAAATCAGAAAAACTGATCTATTTAAAAAAAACCGAAACTAAAAAACGACAAAACCGCCGGAAAAACCGAATGGTTTTTTTTTCGAAAAAGAAAAAAAATCTACCGGCAACTCCGGCGACGGCGCGGCGGCGCGGCGACGCAGCGGCGGGGCGGCGCTAGGGTTCGGGCTGCAGGGTCGGGTGCCCCGGCTTTTAAAGGCCGGCCCCGGAGGAGTGCGGGCCTAACACGGCCCGTAGGTCAGTTTCGTTTTTTTTAAATTATTCCGCGCAGAAAAACAAATAAAAGAAATATTAAACGGACTCCAAAAATCCCGAAATAAATTTTCCCGGACTTCTAAAATCAAGTCGCACAAGGTGAACATTTAT